CACATCAAATTTTTGTTTGAAATTTTGTTTGCTCATGCTCCTGAAGCCTCATAAATTATGTTCGCGACCATTTCAGATGCATAATTGATGCTCTTTCCTAATCAATTAAAACGCTATCTAAACTGGAGTAAGAAAGCAAGAATTATGGTTTCCGTTCAAAAATTCTTTGACGATTTTCAAACATTTTCAGATACTCATAAAAAATTGTACTGAATAATATAAACAACTTCGAATCACTGGTTGATAGTGAGCCATTCACAAGAAGTCTACGCGTCACAATGAAAATATTTATGCACACACACACACACACACACAAATAAAACAACACGCTCACAAGAAATCAGATGGCAATTTCATGTCTAGGAATTTTTCATCACATCAATTCCAGTAAAATAAAACATAAGATTGAATATCGTTCAAAAAGGAGCATTGAATATTATTTTTTTCATTCCCCCCTGCATATGGATGGAAAACGTGACTCACCGGACGAGTAGGCAGGAATGGCAAAGACAAGAGCACCTAGAGCAACTGCTGCTTGGATTGGCACGAAGAAATTCAACGAATTTTTGGAGCACACAATGACAGTGGATCCCTTCGTCACACCGTATTTTTCTTTCAAAACTTGTGCAGTCTTCTTTGTCCGGATTAAGAATTCTGTGAAGCTCATTTTCTCGTGAGTTGCCCCGTCAATCTGCATAGGTTAACGGAAAATGTCATTGAATCTATCAAAATTTATTTTCTTCATTACAATTTATTTTTGTTGGAAATGAGTTCACAAAGGATGCATCCCTTAGTTGGCAATTACAGGCGGTAATGATTGGTCATATATTCTTGAATGCAGTAATTTGGTTTAAAAATGAAATGCATATAACTTCCGACTGACCATTGCGGCATTACATTGGAAATGTTACTCATCGTGTAAATTATCTAGGCTTCAGAACAACCGTCTTTTTGAAGAGGCAGCTTAATATTTAATTGAGTCAGAGGAGGAATTGTTTCCCTACGTGAATACGGATTTTTTTTTTGCGTAGAAAATGCGTGACTGATATCCTTTCGTCTGATGGTTTATAGAATTTGCAACCTTGTACAAAACTCAAATGAAAGTCACTTCACCGAAAATTCACCATCATTGTTTTGTCCCCGTGCTTGGCGACGATTTCAGCCACACGAGTCTGAATGTATTCCCACAGGGTTTTGTCTTCAGCTACTCCA